TATATATATATATAATATAAATAAATGTAATATAATAAATTTAATTAATGTAAATAAAATGAATATTATTAACATTTACTTTTAGCAAATGTATCATTATATTTTCGAAAATTAAAGTAATATTATTTAAAATACATTAAACAACTTAAGTTAAAATCATTTTTATTGTGCATGAAAAAATTTAAAAAACTACAACAGTTATAATTTTTACAAGATATCTTCATAACATCTAATCAAAAACTTACAATAGTTATTTCAATCATCTTATTATCATTATATTCTGTGTCACAATAGAATAAGAAAATTAATAATACATTAAATTAATTTGAATTGAAAATAAATTTTTTAGGAGTATTTTTTCATTTTATTCCAATGTAAACCTAATATTCTACCATTTTATGGCTCTGAAAGAAGTTCCACTTCATCCGCGCGTACTCGTAATAAACACTGTTTTTTTTACTCTTTCAATAAAATATATTTAGCGCTAAAATGACCTGATGTCGTCATATAATAAATTGTCGTATTTATATGTACGCATATTTTTATTTTATTCATTTTATCACTGTTTTTACAAATTATTTATTACAACAAAAAATATATTGTGATATTTTAAATTACAAAAAACCTATTATAATTGTAATAGTCTTTTTTTTTAAGTATTTGTTGGACTATAATTAGCATTAAATTGTTTTACAAATTGCTTTTAAAATGGTTAATATTACCTAATAAAATTGGTTGATTAACTAACGCTTCTTTAATTAGAAGTAATTATTATTTTTTAAATAGCAAATTGAATAAAAACTGATTAAATGATATTAAGTATTAATAATTACTATGCAAAATTATGAAAAATGTTTAGAAAAATTGAAATTATTTTAAATATATTATATTAAATTTAATACATTTTGAATATAATTTATATAATTGAAATTTTTACTTCGAAAATTAGAAAATTTGTACAGATATATTACTATCCAGTATTTATTATTATCATTTTGTGCCTGTAATTAATGTCAACATTCACTAAACAGTTATTGGCATTCATTAGTATATGTGTGCAATAATTTGTATGTGAATAATATCGGTATGTGTCAGCGTACACCCTTGAATGACATGATATATTTAATTACAGTCTCTCACTATAGTGAAAATAAATAATTACTGAATGATTTAACATTAGGAGCTAATGAAAAACAAACCTGAGTTTGAAATAACGGGACCAATCAAATCAATTCATCAGTATATAAACATGACTAAGGAAAAAGTTGAGTACAATGACACATATACAGGAGAATTAATACAAGGCAGAGGTTGCAAACCAGCTTTGGGCCATACGTTTTCATCTGGCACAACTGATGGGCCTGGATTGTTTTCTTTTAAAGCTGGTTCAAATAATACAAAAAATTTTCTCTGGAACTTAGTGACTAATGTTATACCTAAACCTAGCAAAGAACAAGTTGAATGTCATACTAATAAATCTATATTGTTATCAACGGGGGAGGTTAGTTACTAAAATATTGAAAAAAAAGTAGTTAATAATAATGTATTTTATAACTTTGTTACGTTTCAGTTTAATTACCCCGCCCCGTGGTCTCCAAACATAGTATCAACTCAGTTGGCCATGATTGGACAATTGATTATAATTTGCGTTCCCGGCGAATTCACAACTATGTCGGGAAGACGACTAAGGAAAGTAGTGACCGAAGAGTTGTGTAATAGCCGATTGTGTGTTCCAGTAATTGCTGGTCTCTGTAACACTTACAGTGATTATGTTACTACTCCAGAAGAATATCGAGTAAATTTAATAGTATAAGTAAACGAATACGTTTTCTTAAAAATCACTATTAACGGGCAATTGATAATAAATCAAATTTTGTTTGATAAACAATATTGTATAATAAGATTTACGTATATTCATTAAAGTTACAGCGGTATGAAGGAGCATCTACTATATACGGTCCACATACATTGCCTATTTACCTAAAGCAATATGCTAAACTTTCTAATGCATTGTCGAACAATAATTTACTTAAACGAGGACCTGAAGTACCTGATTTTTCGTCAAAGGCTATGTCATTTATAGGGCGAATTTGGTATGACGCTCCAATAACTGGACATAGTTTTGGCGATTGTATACTACAACCACCACATCTGGCTTCTTGGGGAGACACTGTTAAAGCTAAATTCGTGAGTAATAATGAATTATCATCAATGTTGTTATTGAGATAAAATAACAGAATGTTATTAAAGTTATAATAGTAACAACTTGTATCTTTTTAAAGAAAAAGTATAAATATTTCAAAACGTTAATGTTTAGTAGTTTATTAAAATTGTTTTTAATTTATTACAAAAATATAGTTTTTTTTAAATTCAAAGGCTTTAATTTTTATAACAATAATGAAAATTTTTATGATTTTTGTTTTTACTCTATATTGCGTCAATAATTGGTTAATCTAATTTTTATTAAAATGTTTAATTTTAATTTATTCGTTAATTTTAATAAAAATCACGACTAAAATGAGATACAAGATGTTAAATTGTTATGTATACGTTCACATAAGTTAACCCCAAAATATTGATAAATAAAATAGTGGCAATAGTAGTTTATGTAAACGACATACATTTTTCTAATTTTGTGTTTTTTGTTTTCATTTAACATAATGAGTATAGTAACTATGAGTGTTAGTAAATGCATGAAAGGTACCTTCTACCTTTAATGACAGATCTTCAAAAATAATTTCGATAATTGCGTTTAAAAACTATAATTCTTTTTTATCAATATTAGGTTGTTAAGTATTTTGGGTAATTTTTAATAATTTTTTTTAACAGTTTTGTGTTACTCAACTGTATAATTTTATGATATGTATTTAAATAATTTCTTATGCTGTTAGTTATACTTATAAATATGTATTTTTTTAAATTATAGGTTGCCGGTAATCCAAGAAATAATCCCATGTTGGAAATGACATTTTTAACGATTGAGCGTTTGGAATCAGATTCAAAGTGGGAAATAGTTGCTACAGATGCAAATTGGGAAACAGAGTAATTTTTTTTTAACTTCTCTTTTTACTCATCATATTTCTATTATCTTATTGCTCTATTTAAAATATTTAAAAATGTATTGGTTAATAGTTATTAACCGATACATTAATAAACTCAAGATTAGTGATGGGCAGAGTTAGTAAACTTGGAAAAACTCAATAACCGATTTTTTTTTTTTTGATACATAAAAAGCAAATATTTTTAATATTGGTATTATTTGATATTATTCAATGCAGAATAATTGGTTTTATTACGTTTAGAATATTTAACAATTACTATTTTATTTATTTAATAGTTTTTTTCTATATATTAAAATATAATAATTATTAAATATTTACTAGATTTATATAAGTATTCGATATACTTATTCCAAATTATTTAAAGACGGTTTAATTAGCTCAGACAAGAACGGGTCATGCCTTGGTGCGTAAGTGTAGGTATTTGATTCCGTTTCAATGGACTGTGCAGGTTATCCTATATTCTTTAACACAAACATAGATTAAAGAGGACGTAAAATATTATTTGAGTATAATAATAATAATAATGTAGATATTATTTCCAACACAAAGATTACAATGTATAGAAGCTATAAGCTTTAAAAAAAAAAAAATCTCCAAATCAATTTAAATTGTATTCTGTTTTTGAATATTCAGTTAAATTTATTTGACCGAATAGTTAAGTGCCGGTAAATAACCTAATATAAATTACTCCTGAGATATTAGCTGAATAATTTTCGAATATTCAACCCATCCCTACTCGTAATTAATTATTAAGGAAAAAGTTCAATAATAATCATTTTAATATTTCAATAATCAAAAATATTAAAAAAAAAATTAAAAGCTTAAACTATAAAAGTTTTTAAATAAATTTTATAACTAGATTTACTTGGGAAACGACGTCTTGGATATGGGCAACAAGTGTAGCTGAAATTAAATGGAATATACCTAAAAATACAAAACCTGGTATTTACAGGATACGACATTTTGGATATTTTAAATATTACAGTGGAAATAAATTAGGAAAATATTATGGAAACTCAGATGCATTTAGAGTTACTGAAAAATAATGCATAGTTAAATATTTCAACACTTCAATGTTACTATAGCGTGTTAAGTAAATTCACTTTTGATTGTGTTATGTTCATTTTTTAATAATAAATAAATCTTTGAATAAAAAATAAAAATTATCATCTTTGGTCGATAAAGGTTCTAATTTGAAATAATTTGAACATTATTATAGTGTTTTCAAAAGTATAACTGTATGTAGCTTAGAATTTTTGAATTTTACTAATTAATTTAACATTACAACTTAAAGTAGAAAAAAATCTCAAGTCTACATTTCATAAATTAACGTTTTATGAAAAAATACTTGATACATTATATAATAAATAATTTAATACTTCTATTAATTAAAAAATTTAACAAATAAAAAATGTTTACGACGACAGTGTTGTTAGATATTCAATGCTATATATTTTATAACAATGATGCTCATCTTGAAATAAGGTGTTGTCATAAGTTCTGTCATGATTTGAAGAAAATCTTCAATTACTTTTTAAAACTAGTGATTTTAATACACTTATGAGAGAACATTTACTTGAAAATTTTGTCAACAAATAAAGAAAATATAAAAAAAAAGCAACACAGTGGGAGGGTGGTCGCGGCACAATGAAGATACTGCATAGCTGAAACAAGTATAGATGACAACTGACAAGTATTCACATCAATATAATAAAAAACTCCACGATGTGATTCTATTAAATTTAACAATAATTTGTATGGTTGTAATTTTAAAATAGCAATGTTTTAAAATTTCACTAAAATACTAAAGACTTATTAAATTATTTATTTTACCACACAATAGCTTTGGCAATGTCTGTAATCGTTAAGTCTATACTCTTTTGCTACAATCAATTACTACCTTACGGGAACATGAAGTATAAAAAAACCATAAAATATTCTTACCTCTGTGTTTTTCTCCAACCTTTTGACAATATATACATTTATGTTTTTTATGTCATATATTTGGATGTATTTTACGAAACAGCAATTTTTTTTTGTTTTGACGGTCGATTTCTCCTAGTAAAATAATTGTGGGATACTTTTTTTAAATATTATAGTACTCTTCAAGAGATTTAAATTTATATAGATTAAAGTTGTCAGATTTTTTGGAAAATTTTTAAAAATTCAGTAAAGAAAAATAATTTACATATGTGGGTATTCTCTTTCAAACCCTTTATGTATTTATTTATTGTAACTATTTATACTTACAATGATTTATCATGGAATTTTCAATTTTTTATGATTAAATGTCTACCAAAAAAAGTTTATTGTCTCTAATATACTTTGTCAACATTTCAAAAGAATTATTGTTTTAAAAAAGTTATATTAGTTTTAAAATGATGTTTTTACAGTAGTGTATTTTTGAGATATTTTTTTTTCTCTAAAATTGAGGGTTTTTCAGTTTTTGGTGATAATAGGTACTAAATGAAAATCAGACTCTTTTGACGTATTAAAAATTACAAATGGTTTAGTGCAAACGGAGAATATTCATGTACAGACATAAAAGAACACACAATATCATAAAATTAAAATCTTCTTTGCTTCGCATCAATTTTAAAAAAAAGAATCGAGGTACTAAATTTTATTTTAATTTCATTTTATAAATGAGTTTAGTTTAACAAGTAGCGTAACAAATATTTTTCATTTGAGGTGGCTGATGAATTTTTTATATAAAGGTAATTTAATGAAGTTTTTGATAAGTTAAATAGGCTGATATTGATTTGTTGATTTTTTACGAATTTTTGTCCACTATTGATAAATTCATCAAGGTTATCATTTTTTTATTTTGATCTCATATTCATAATTGTATCAGGCTCCTCTGAGTGGAATCGTTTTGGATTATCCACTGGATACTCAAGAAATAAAAATAATTTTATTATAAATAATGGGCTCAATTTTTTATAGATAAAAAGTAAATCTAGAATTATAACTACTATACAAATTTTTATTTAAGATATAAACAGCTGTTTAACCAAACGACCGTATTTACAACTGTTTTAATCTTATTAATCGTGACGGTTCGCAAATAAGCAAAACACGAAGAAAAAAATCGTTAACACGTCATGACACTGAAATGTCAAAACAATATTGCGTATTATTGAGGTACAAAAAAACAAATTTTTCGCCTCAAATTTTCCATCGAAAATACGGGAGAGACTGCAGTCCACACGATCTTCCCCTCTAGCAACGCTAATGTCTTATTTATACTAAATACAATTTATTACTGTATTTTTTCATTTTGAAGTGAAAAGATATTATATGATTGATATAGCCTGTATATTCAACTATAACTATATTAATTTTTTATGAAACGTGACAAAATGTTCGATTGAATTATTCTAGTAAAATTAAGAGAAATCTTAATATTTTAGAAATGACAAACTTTTATTATGTGCTTTTGGATGATTAAGTAAAGTCATTGAAGCAATATTCTACAGATGAAATAGATTGGTGTCAAGGTCAATACTAGTTTTTAACTTTCGTATCATTGAAAAACTAGTTTTTCATACAAATAATATGAAATTTTTACTCTCGAAATTATAGTTATTGAGTAATATACAATGATTTGTTAAGCACAAGCGAAATATTAACTATTCCATGGAGTATAAATTTCTATTTTTTACTATGATTATCCAAGAGTTTTCTGTATACCGTATTTAGTAAAAGTGTAATTATACTGTTTTAAAACTATATAATTAAAAATTAAAAATACATTTTTAAAGAAATTGCAAGTTAATAAATTAATAAATTACGTAATGACAAATTTATATTAATGAATTATTTAAATTTTTGTTGATCAATCCGAAGATTGGTTTTTAACAAATTTTTCTTAATAAATGCCTTCTCTGTTTTTCTATGTCATTTAACATGTTCTTGAACCTCTGCATTTTGTTTTACTTGGCTAATGTATTTCGTTCTAGGACTTCCTCTTTTTCTCGTCTCTTCTATAATTCATCTAATTATTAAACTATGCAATTCATTGCTATGCTACAACGTGTGTTCCATCATTTGCCATCTCCTTCTCATTATAGTGTCTATCAATGATAAAATGATTTTTTCTGTAAGCTAAAATTGTTAAGCAAACAGGGATTCTTATAAATCTAATTATATATTTTTATTGTAATTATAATAGTAATTATAAAATACATAAAAATTTAATTAATTAAATTTAAATAAATCTAAATCTGTTAATAGAGTTGAATAATTGTACAAATATTAATGTAACAATTCTAATTTGATGAAGAACTTTCAATATTTTTTAAATTGTCTATCGACTAATACCAATATTATTACCTAATTAATTTATCATTTTTCAAAGTACCATTTAAAAACAAATTATTTTTTTTTCTTGTACAATGATTATATTTAAATTAAAATTTTTGTATATCGAGAAAAAATATTTTTGACAATATTTTTCACACGTATTATTATTTAAACTATACAATACTGCAATCATTAAACAAAAAAATAGTACTCATTCAAAGTGCTTCTTTTTAAGTGATTTTAAGTGATTTTTTTTATGAAGAATTTTTAGTGGTTTCAAGTAAAATAAGGTGAATCGTACGCACATTCCTAAACTCCAATACCATATGAATAATGACTGAACTATATCTAGTTTATTGTAAAAGTATATTACTAAGGGATTTAAATTTAAAGAATAATAAACTGATTTTACTAGTGAAATATTATTGTTGTTATCGTGTTAAAGGGTTGGAGGCTTACATTTCATATAGCTCGATTTTCCTGAATTATAACCTGCTATAAGTAAACTTTTGTTACGTAACCTTTTAAGTAAATTATTTTATATGTTTAATTAACTTTGTTAGACCCTTCCACTTTATACCCTATACTTGATATATTTTTGCTACTTTACCTATGTACCTGAAAATATTGAAGTACAATTAATGAGAATATATAATAAATAATAAAGATTACAGTTATTTTGATGTGCTTTATTAAGCTCTAAAATATAATTATCATACCATGATTTATTAACATTTATTATATAAGAAAATTAATTATACAGGTGATTAAATTCAGTTATTCAATGGTAAAAAATTTAAAATATAATTTTAATTGTTGAAATCCCTTAAACTTATTTTAAATGTATGATAGAAGTCAAAATTTCAAACAGATTTGTTCAAATAATTTCTTTGTTCAATAAACCGTTTGCGTTTTAACATTGTTTAAAGATTTGGATTTAAAATATTAATTTATCATTAATTTGATTTTCATAATACTGGAGGCAATATTTTCCTTTATAAAAATTTTAAATTATCAATAGTTTCATAGAAAATTGGTGTCTTATCCTTAATTATTCACTCTATATATATATTTTCTACTTGCATAATCTATAATAAATAATGTGTTATTAACAAAACAAAAATTAATCCATTATAGTTAATATTGAACAAATCATTAATATACATATACTATAAATACAGAAGACTTACCAGTATCTTGTAAATCCTATGATGAAAAAAAATGTAATCACAATCTTATTTATTTTAATTTTAAATAAAAATTATAGAAAGAATTAAAATTAACAATAAACATATTTATATTTGAATTTAGTACTATAAAAACTAGGTTAATCTTATTAATCGATATTATTTTACAACATATCAAAAGATTACAAAATTATGGAATCTACTAAATTTCTCGAATAAGAAAAATTATTTAAAAAATTCAATTAACTAAATGGTTCTTATAAAGTTTTTCTATTATAGATTTATGTTGTGAAATCTAATTAAAAAATATGTATGTAGACATACATTTTTTTCTAAAAGAACCTTAGATAAGTTACTTATATTATATTTATACTCTTATCAAGTTTTTCTATTTTATAAAAGTATTTTAGAAATGTTATCTATTTTTATGAGTTATGCAATTTATTAAAAACGTGAAAAACGTTTTTTTTTAAAGATATTAAATTTAGCCAATCCAAAAAAATGTCTATCAAAACATCGAAAATGTTCATAATAATGTGATTTTAATCACTGTAATCTATAGTATTTTCTATAGTAAAGTATGTAAGTTAAATAATGAGTTTTTATTACTGTACTAGCAATAAAAATTTGTTTATTAAAATTAATTTTATTTCAATGAAAAATATCTATATGATTAATTTTTTTATTTTAATAATTGTTAATTTTAGAATAAGATAATTTCAATTGGTAATTAAAAAGAATTTATCAAAGATTTAAAAAAAATTTTACTTTCTTTAATACATAGCTGTATTATTGACATGGTTAGGATCTTGTATGATATTGCAATTTTCTATTGTTAAGAGGGGCATCTATAATCTCTATATACAAGGTCTATTCATTGATCGTCATTCTACCCGTTGACGGCGATCACATAACATTCAACTAGAGAGATTGTATCATGTTAATTTAATACTTCAAAATGTAACTGTATGTATATGTATATTTTAGTGAATGTGCTATAAAAAATAATGGTAATAATGTAACTAAGAAACGTAATAGTATATTGAGACTATCTCCTGACAAAATGAGTAAGTGCTTTTACAGTGTGTTTAAGTGCTAAATAAAAAATAATTTTTATAATTTCTGGATAATATACATAAGATATCATATCATGAAGGCAATTCTAAAATTTTGTTATATTAAAATGTTAAATTGTATTCTAAGTACTTAAGTTCATATTTAAAGCTGTATACATATAGAAAATAATAATGTAAAATAAAAACTGATAATAAAATAATTTTAAATTGCTAAAATAAAATAGTTAACTTCAGGCTATTGAATTTATTAGAATACTTCATAATATACTGTTAACTAATTTAATATTTTATAAAAAAAGTAATTCAATTTTAATACGAAGTGAAATATCAGTTTTTTTGTTGAATAATTCATAGTATTAATTTCTTTCTGCATAAAATCATATTCGTGTTTTATTTTGTTCATAAATAGTATCACTGAATTAAATGTTTTTTTTTGTAATTTTTTCACTAAATCTATACAAATATTTTATTTATATTTGTAAATCGATGAGGTTTTAAAATAATAAATGGAGAATAAAGCATAATGCAATGTTTTGTTGGCATAGATTTTTCTTATTCAAGTAAAATGTATTTTTTGATCATTTTTAAATCTTGTTTTTATTCGAAAATGCAATTAATATAGGATTTTAAATGTATCGATAAAACATTAATACACAATCAATTATTATGTATTATCTAGAAAAGATTAAGTACAGACTCATAATTTGATTTGAAATATGGATATTTTTAATTCTGAAAATTTAAATTTTTGAGATGATTTATCTTAATTCATTTCTGTATAATGGACGATATTATCCTGTTATGTAAACGTAGAAAAAATAAAGTAACTAACTCAATAATATCAATGCATTCAATTGACGTTTGAATTAAAAAAAAAAACTACAATTGCACTAAATAATATGGCAGATAATTTCTATGTGGAATGAAATAATTTTTTCTTTTTAAAAGTTAATGGTATCCTACATTCTATAATTTAAAAAAAAAATCAGTCCTTTCCTCTAAAATAATATCAATTTTAATATTTAATATTTTTACTTAACTATTTTAACATATATAAGTTAATCTAATTTCATACTATTTAAAAAGGATAAGTTTTTTTAGTTATTATAGAACATTATAGGAATTTTCTGAAAAGACAAAATTGTAATTTGTTATATACTTTTAAAGATATTGCACGAGGCATATTTAATTAATCACTTGTATAGTATTAAAGTTAAATATTCCAATAAACTTGTTATCGAATCAACATCTACGAATTAAAATTTTAAGTATTTTATAATAAAAGTTTCTTTTTGATAAATTTGGACAAGTTTTTCAAATAATTATGGTTCTCAAATTATGGTTATACGTCTAATAACATTAAACATAACATAATCTGATTTATAATATCTTGAATTTTAAAAACTAAATTTTTACAAAAAAAAACTGATTTTCTGTTTTTCATGAAATTTTATTTATAATATACATCGTAAATGTTGGTAAGGTTTTAATTTATTTCAGGATTAAGATTGTTAGTTTTATTACTGTTCTGCATTGCAGCGGTTCAACCTTTATATAGAATTGGAGTCGGCATTGCTGATATTACTGGACCACCTACCGACGTCACATTTGTACGTATTTGTAACATAAAATTAAGTTATATTTTTATGCATTAATAATTATAAATCATACTTTATAACCAATATTTAAATATGTTATAGTTAAATACTAAAATAAAACAGCAAACAACAATGACTAAAACAAAAAATTACATTCAAAAGCTTTTATTCTATAATGAAAGACATTAATTGTATACAAATATTATTTGTATATTATTAATATTCTTTAATGTAATTAACTTATTGAACTTTCTGAATAATTTAAAATACTTCGATTAGAATAAGTATTTAAGAATTTGTAGATGGGTTATGGAAAATTAGATGAGATAGGAATGGGAATACATCTACGACAGTTTTCTAGGGCTTTTGTGATTGAAGATGGAATTTCTAGAATTGCTTTTGTCAGTGTGGATACATCAATGGTTGGTGACAATGTTAAAATGGAGGTATAAATAATAATAAAATATTCTTATTAAATAGTTTTAAATAATTTTTTAGGTCAATTATTTTTTAGGTATTAAAGAAACTTAAAGGAAAGTTACCGGTTTTGTATGATGAAGACAATTTAATGATTTCGTCTACACATACACATTCAACACCAGGTGGTCATATGTTGTACACACTTTTTGATCTCAGCACTTTTGGTTACGTACCAATTACATTTTTATCATTAGTAAAAGGCGTTGCTTTGGTAATAATGAAAATATCAATAAATATATATTTCCATTGGTTAATTTATTTATTTTGTTATAGAGTATTATGAGGGCTCATGATAAAATGGAATACGGTCGAATGTTTTTAAGTAGAGGTGAACTTCTTGGTGTATCAATTAATAGAAGTCCACAATCATATTTATTAAATCCAGAAAACGAACGTGCAGAGTGTGTAATTATGTTATTCAATAATTTTATTTTCTTTATATGACAAGATTAAATCCAAGAATGAATTACTCAGAGTGACACACACTGTTTCAGGTATGAGTATGATGTTGATAAGACTATGGTACAAGTTAAATTTGAAAATGAGTTCGGCACACCTATGGGAGTTATTAATTGGTATGCTGTACATGCCACTAGCATGAATAACACGAACAAATTAGTATCATCGGATAATCTAGGGTACGCTTCTGTGATGTTTGAGCAGAAAATGAATCCAGATAATTTAATAGGAAAAGTAATTAACATTTAATAAATAGGAAATAATTATTTGTACTATTAATTATTAGTATAAAATACATTCAGGGTCACTTTGTTGCTGCTTTTGCTTCAGCAAATGAAGGCGATTCTTCGCCCAATATAAAAGGTCCTAGATGTCAAATAACTGGAAATCCTTGTGATATACCTGGGCCATCTTGTGAGTCAGACGAACAATGTGTTGCATCGGGACCTGGTAAAGATATGAAAGAAAGTACTAAAATTATAGCTGAACGTTTATTTGAAAAAGCTTTTGTAAGTATCGTGACGAATAATATGATTTTTTACGTATGTATTTGGTAAGAAATAATATCATTTGATGCTATTAGGAATTGATGAAAAACAAACCTGAGATTGAAATAACGGGACCAATTAAATCAATTCATCAATACGTTGATATGACAAAAGAAGAAGTTGAGTATACTGACCTGAATACAGGAGAACTCATACAAGGTAGAGGTTGTAAACCAGCTTTAGGTCATACATTTTCGGCAGGTACAACTGATGGACCAGGATTGTTTTCTTTTGATGCTGGTTCAAATAGTTCAAACAACCCGCTTTGGAATTTAGTCACTAATGTAATACCTAATCCAAGTAAAGAACAAATCCAGTGCCATACTAAAAAATCAATATTGTTATCAACGGGAGAGGTAAATCCGAAAATTATCAAACGAAGAAAATTTATAAATACTACAAACATTTTTAGTATATCTTACTGCAATGTTGATGTTTTAGTTTAATTACCCCAACCCATGGTCTCCAAATATAGTATCAACTCAATTGGCCATGATTGGACCATTGATTATAATTTGCGTTCCTGGTGAATTCACAACTATGTCTGGAAGACGACTAAGGAAAGTGGTTGCTAAAGAGATGTGTAATGGACGTGTATTGTGTATACCAGTTATAGCTGGTCTATGTAATACCTATAGTGATTATATTACTACTCCAGAAGAATACGAGGTATAATAAAAAACATAATGCGGACACATTCCTTTAAAATTTTTTATGACAATTATAATTAGTTTAGTGTAAATAATATCTAAATAATAAATATATTTTATTTTGACTTAATATTTAAATAAATATTCTCCTTATTAATATAACAAAAATACATACAATTTTACACAATAAAAAAATAAAATAAAAGCTGTGTTTAAAAATAATACAAATCTTTGTAAAAATAGTTACAACGGTATGAAGGAGCATCCACATTATATGGTCCTTATACACTGCCCATTTATTTGAAGCAGTACGCAAAACTTGCCTATGCAATTTCAAAAAATATTACATTAGATCGTGGGCCTGAAATACCAAATTTTACGTCAAAAACGTTGTCATTAATAAGACCAGTTTTATATGATATTCCATTATCTGGACATAGTTTTGGTGATTGTACACTACAACCAACATCTATTGCTACTTGGGGCGATACTGTAATAGCCAAATTTGTGAGTAATTTAGTGACAAAATTATTGTTGAAATAAAAAAAAAGACGTGTTATTATTTAGCTACAACATATGTGTTAATTAATTCATTATATATTTTATAAGATGTTCTTTGATTAGTAATTTAATTTTTATTTAGTAATTAAATAATAAATGAATTATAAGAAACTTGATATTTTTTAACAACAATTTATTCAAAAATGCATGGTAACTAGGATTTTATTTTAAATTTTATACATAAAAACATTAATTACTGAATTTTTTTGATCTTAGTTCATTGTAGAGTTATTGAAAACCATGATATTTTCTAATTGATTGTTATATATTTTATTATTATTTTAAAAAGTCGTTAAAATAATTTAAAATTGTAAGCCTCTTCAAAAAAGTTTAGGTTTCTAATATGGTTTACAGTACATTTCTAAATTAAGTTTTTAGGTTTTTTTTTTTTAAGTTGACCTAAGACCCTGCAAAAAATACACCACTAGTTATACTATTTTCAATACTTTTTATACTTTATAATTAATTATTTTCTACAAAGAATTTATGAAGCGTATTATACAGGGTGGCCCACCACTCACTGACAACTTAAATAACTTTTGATCCAGTTAATATTTTTAGTTGATTTTTTTTTTAAATAATAGTTATACGTTAGGTCTATAGCTATATCTCAATAATTAATTTTTTTACATTTTATTAAAAATATTAATTATTTTTAAATTTTAAATAAAATGTAAAAAAAAAATCTAAGATAGCTATTTTGTAGAGTAGAATTTAAGAAAAATTTTAGTAAAAAAATATCTTATTAATATTCAGTAGTAAATATTCTGTAGCGTTTTGAAGTTTGTAAAAATTTGAATTTTCATGTACTATTTTACGGTTATAAACATTGAAATACGTATTGAGAAAAGGACAGAAGAAAACGCTATCTTTTCATGATTACTGTGTATACATATGATGATAGTGTGTATACATTACAAACATGGCATTAATACCATGATAAGAAATTAGATAAGGCAATTATTACTTATCACTCTCATTCAAAAGTATATTGAAAAGATATCGTTTTCTTCTGTCCTTTTCTCAATACGTATTTCAATGTTTATAACCGTAAAATAGTACATGAAAATTCAAATTTTTACAAACTTCAAAACGCTACAGAATATTTACTACTGAATATTAATAAGATATTTTTTTACTAAAATTTTTCTTAAATTCTACTCTACAAAATAGCTATCTTAGATTTTTTTTTTACATTTTATTTAAAATTTTAAAATAATTAATATTTTTAATAAAATGTAAAAAAATTAATTATTGAGATATAGCTATAGACCTAACGTATAAATATTATTTAAAAAAAAAATCAACTAAAAATATTAACTGGATCAAAAGTTATTTAAGTTGTCAGTGAGTGGTGGGCCACCCTGTATTTTAGATTTTTTTCAACTATATATTACTGTGAATGTATGTTAATTTTTTTTTTCGTAATAATATATTATTACAACTTTATGAAATATATTTAAATAATATCTTATGCTGTTATACTTATGAATATACATGCTTAAAAATATAGGTTGCTGGTAACCCTAGAAACAATCCAATGTTGGAAATGACCTTTTTGACTATTGAGCGATTAGAATCAGATTCAATGTGGAAAATAATTGCGACAGATGCTAATTGGGAAACAGAGTGAGTTTTTTAACATTTATCTACACCGATTATTATTTTTATAACGTGTATTATCAAAAATAATTTATTATCGCTTCATATCATCCATTTAAAATTAAATTTGACAAAAAGTTATGTAATAAAGAAATTTAGCAATAATAATGATTAATTTAATATTTAAATGTAAAACTATTTTTTCTCATTTTTCAATTTAAAATTATTAAAATTTCAACATTTTAATTACAATTAATTAATTTAATTAAAAAACAAAATTCAATATATCAATTCAAAATTCATTGTTTTTATATCATATTTAATCACTAGGTTTATTTGGAGAAAAAAATCATTCTTTTGGTTAACAAGTGAGGCTGAAATTAAATGGACAATACCAAAAAATACAAAACCAGGTGTATACAGAATACGTCATTTTGGATATTTTAAACATTTTGGTAGACGCACATTAGGAAGATATTATGGAACTTCGCAGACATTTAGTGTAATTGATAAATGAATCTTTGTTTCTATATTGGTGTTCAATTTCATTTAAACCTGAAAGGTTTTAAATATAGAAGTTTTCCTTTCTGAAATTAAATTTTCAACTTGATTACTTTTAGATTCAAATATTTTGTTTTTTTTTATCAACAGTTTTCCTGAGAGTTATTTTTTTAAAGTCAAGTAAACTCAAATTAATGCAATTAGTCAGTGGAATTAGTTATTTTTAATAAGCAATTAATACATTTTTTTTTTTATTTTAAACATGTTTCACTAATAAATCAAAATGTAGTTAATTATATCTTTTTAACATACTGAAAAAACACATACATATATAAAACAATTATAACTTGTATCTTAAATAAATTATAATACATTTATAAGATATAAAAAAACTATATCATATTTTTAGTTCTATAACTGGAATCATCATTTCTCTCTCTGTTGACGGTCTTACTACCTAAATTATATCAGGTTAAGAAACCATCTCATTAGAGAGGGCACAATAATCACCCTTAATAAACTACAAAATTGTGATAAAGACTATCTTAATTGTAAGTTTCGTGAAAAAAATCTTAACAATTTTGTTAATTTAATAGATTATTATATAACTTAATAAGAGAGATCATTTAAAATATTTTTATTAAGAAGAAAAAAGTCGATATTAATAATAATTACCAGTTCTTCAAAATATTTATTATTAGGAAAATAAATGTATGCAAATTTGAAAGCGGTTTTTTTTATGATATATCATATTTATATTATTATCATATTATATATTTATTGAGAATAAAAAAAAACTAAATCTTGGAATTTTCTAAATATAATTATAATTATAAAATAAGATGTACACTAAAATTTCAATATTTTATTGTTATTATCCAAAATGGGATTTTTATTTTTTAATTGAATGATCCCTTTTTTTGTACGAGAATTTGCAAGATTTTTTTATATTTGACTTATTTTTAAGTTTGAACATTATTAAAATCATCTTAAATTAACATGAACTGGGGATATTTTAGAATAAACGTTATTAGCCCAGGCGTGAGCATTGTATAAATCAAAAAAGAGTTAAAATCGAAAGTTTACACTTAAACTGAAAGGTTAGGGTAGTTAGGAATATGAAAATAAAATAATGTTTTTGAGAGATCTTTATTAGCATGGTCATGAAATTTTTATACATATAATTTATAATCTAAAACATATATATAATCTTTGTTCTCTTTATGTTCTAAATTTAAAAAAATTAAAAATTTATTTTGACAATTTATCTTTTATATATAAGTTCAGATATATATTTTTTATGAAATATACAATAATATTATAACTATAGTCATGATAATGACATATATAAATATATTTGTTAAAATAAACTTTGGTAATAATTGTACAAAATGTACGTATTACAGATGAAAAATTGAAATTCTTCCGTTTCAAGAATCATGAATTAATAGTAGTGTCCAAAATATTATAAAGTATATTATTCCTGATCAATTTTCTTTTATCTTAGCTTAAATTCGGTACATATTTAATTAGGCATAGTTTAATTATCTGGCATATTTTGTATGAAAATAATACATTTTTTAAAATTTTTCGTAATTTGAAATTTACAATACTAAATAAGGAAATTATGAAGAACATCGGCTATCGGAGAATATCTATCACTAAGATATATTGATAAATAGTACAATTTTAAGTAGATATTATCAAAACATAATTTATAACCATTATAGATAATTTGCAACAGAGCTAATTTTTTTCAGTTTTTACTACGCATTTATAATTAAATTTTTATTTTAGTGATGTTTCTCTTAATAGTTGGCAAAACTTGAAATTTTGATCAATCCATGATAATTAATTTTCAATAATCATAGTATTTTATGATAGTTCAACACATTGTCTTTATGATAATAACATTGTTTAACACTACTTATAATTAATTAATAAGTAATTAAAAATTTCACAATCAAGTTATTATTGATGCCTACTGAGATATTTTGTAAAGATATCCTTCAATACAATGACAAAGTAGAGAAAAGTAAAACTATACATCAAATAAAAAATTAATAAAAATAGATTTATCATTTTCATAATTTATAACGTTATTCGTTTGTTTTTGGAAAATTACATAATATGTTATTTTAATTTCTCTCTATGAATACTATATAAGTGAAGGTGAGTCAATATATATTTTGGAATAAATTAATTTCTCTGTTTTAATTATTAAACATATAATAGCAAATTTTCCATAGTTGAGTAGAATTAATTATATTTTTTATACATATCAACTATTTTACTAATTTATCTGAGGTCCATCAGTTTTCTTTTATAAAAACACTTATAAAAAGATTATTGTAAAATTTTAGACTAATACGATAATATTTAAAAGTAGTCAATTAATACTTAAGGTAAAATTTAGATTAAATTTTATGATAAGTGTATATGAATTTATAAAACTTCAGATTTAACCTAGGCCAACTGGATAATTTATTATACGAATTTTACAATTTTAACAGTTAAGATCATACAAAATAAAAAATTCTAAAGGATCGATACCAAACTAATTTAATAAGCAATAATATTGTAAAATTATCTCAAGTTTAATTCTGCTCGTAAAATGAATCATATATTTAAAGGAACTAAAATATATACATATTTTTTACTTTGCCTGAGTAAAGTAAAGTAAAGCAAATATCTAAACTATATAATTTATTTAAACAAAATTAATCTTATTTGAATCTAAAATAAAACTTAACATCTTTTTTTTTCTTTTAGCGTAAAACTCACACCTTAAGTATTAATTAATGCATTATATGACAATTTTTTTAACACCATAAAAATCGAAAGTATAACTAAAAATATGTCTTAAAAATATATATAATACATTTACATTTTAAGTATTAAATATATTTATGACATATGCTTATGGCTCCAAAGTGTTTTTTTCTTTTTGCATTTCTACGGTTTCTTGATTTTTAAATAAGAATCCAAATAAAAGCACAAAAGTTAAGAAGCCATATAAATGCACAAAAGTTAAGAAGCCATATAAATGCACAAAAGTTAAGAAGCCATAAAAATAAAGAAGCCATATAAATGCATAAAAAATTAAGAAGCCATATAAATGCATAAAAATTAAGAAGCCATATAAAAGCAAAAATTAAGAAGCCATACAAATGCACAAAAATTAGGAAGCCATATAAATGCACAAAAATTAAGAAGCCATATAAAAACAAAAAATTAGGAAGCCATATAAATGCACAAAAATTAAGAAGCCATATAAAAACAAAAAATTAAGAAGCCATACAAATGCAAAAAAATTAAGAAGCCATATAAATGCACAAAAATTAAGAAGCCATATAAAAGCAAAAAATTAAGAAGCCATACAAATGCACAAAAATTAGGAAGCCATATAAAAGCAAAAAAATTAAGAAGCCATACAAATGCACAAAAGTTAAGAAGCCAAACAAATGCACAAAAATTAAGAAGCCATATAAAAGCAAAAAATTAAGAAGCCTTATAAATGCACAAGAATGAAGATGTTTTTTGTACTTTTTGAAAAATGAACAAATTAAAATAATTAATTTTTTTATTGAAATTTTAGATATTTTTCTTTCATTTGATATAATTTTTTTGAAAATATGATTCTAACGATGCCCACAGGGGAGATTCAAAAAAGCAATTTTTGCATACAAGTTAAGCTTCTTCAATTTTATTTTTGAAAATGTTCCGGAAATATTGACACTTATTTTTAGTTTTAAGTTAAAGCTTATGTAATATACTTTATAATGAAAAAAATTAAATTCGAAATATATATTTTCTTTTTGGTGAAAAAAGCTACAGTATTCAAAAATATGTTATTTTTGTGTTCAAATTTAGGGTTTTGTATTTTATCTTACAAGGAGAATACATTGACTTTCATGAATATTATATAGTCCAATTTACATAGAATAAAGTTCATAAGACATAAGAAGTTAAACTTATTTAATTTTTTTTGCTTTTTTAAAGTTGAAAAAGTAGCTTTTAAATTTGAATTAGCTTAAATTGCCAATTTTATCAATAGACAAAAGCGTACAACAATTGCCGAATTGGTAACACTTGTGCCTTGTACGCTTAGGGTACGAGATTCAAATCCGCCTGTGGCAATTGATATTTTGCATTTTTTTTAGTTAGGAAAAATTTTTAAATCATTTGATTTTTTTCTCATTGCGATTCAATAACTTCAATAAGTATTAAGGATCCCATCACTCTAGTTTCCCATCGTGAGAAGATATTTCTTAGTCATGATAGTATTATTTTACTATGTGTTTTTTTTTTGTGGCTGCGATTTATTTTTCCAACCTCCCCTTAACTTACTTTTTTCAACTATACGTCAAATGATTACAATTCGTATTTAATTGAAGATATTACCCTCAAAAATTGAAAAAATATCCTTTAATAAAATAAAAAGTAGCTTAACCAGCTTTATCCATACAAACCAAAAAATGATTCACTTTTAAAGTATTTATTGTCAAATTAGATTTATTATGATAAAAGTATTCAACTACAAAAGTAAATAATTTTACTTTGTAATTTATTGATTTTTTAACTCTATTTGTGTGTTCTACTAACAGTCTATAATATTCCAAATTTTGTGGGAATATTCATGAATTAAATTGATGATTCATTTTAGAATTTCGGAAGTAGTTACAGACAAATAGCAACTTAAATCAACAATTAAACTAATTGTTCAAATTATCAAAGAAGTCAGACACTCTTTCTCAAATCACTACAACAATCAGTGACATTTCGTAGTTTATTTCAATGAATTATAGCTGACACTCGGAATAAGCTCAAAAAGAAATAAATTAATTCGAGTTACGTAAAAGTTGTAAATAGATGGAATGATCCATCCGATTATTTTTGTTCATTATTCTAATAGAAGTGTTAGTTTTGATAAAAAATTAGGGCACACAAGAAATGTATTACTTTTTATCTATATCAGTTTCTTTTGAATATTATTTAAATTCTTAATTTTTCTATAAAAATTAGTTAAATTTAAATATTTATCAATAAGTGTAAGAAAATAAAAATGTAATTATTTATAAGCCATTTAATAATAAATAGACATAGTGGTTT